ACGGATTCGAATTTTTCAAAAAAAGTTTGAAAGCTTGAGAGCCCTTCTATATGTGATTAAATTTTCAAGTATCTAAGGGCCTTGGTTTTTGCTGTGCAAAATTTTGAAAATTTGCAAATTTTTTTTCAAAATCTGGATTGCAAAATTATTATGCAAAATCTATCGAACCGATTTTGATGAAATTTGGTGTGATGATTCTACATAACATGAACTTTTCTTGAGCCAAGTATGAAGGTCCTATACCCAACTTAAAGACCCCAAAAAAATTCCCTAAAAAGTAATGTTTTTTAACCCCATTTTTGGCGATTTTTTCGATTTTTACAATAATAATCATGATTCATTCGATTTGTAACTAGTCATATTTTGTAAAATTTAATTACAAACATTTTTTTCCTCTTCTATTTTCGCCTAAAATCAACTCTGGAAGACACATAATTAAATAGGAAGAAAAATATGACATTTTTCGAATTTTTTTAAAAAAGTTAAGCCCACGTTTCTAATGATATTTGAAAGCCAAAAAGCCAAAAATCTCCGTGGATATACGATTCACCCAAACATGGACTTTTTGAAACAGATACCGTTTGGACTATAGTAGCAGTAGCAGTTCTAGCAACACTTCACTTCACTTATTGTTAGACATATGAAAAAACTGAACTACAGTACCCATGGATACAGTAGTTCATAGCAGTATGTTTACGTCACATTGGTACACTGTTGCTTTGTTATTAAGCGGATACGTAATTAATTCCTATCCGTTAGGTTTATGGTGGTATATTGTAGACAATTTGTTGCTTTTTAAAAATAATGCGTACGCCTATGTCTTGCGGCTCACTTCTGACAGCCCTACTAAACTAACCCTATCCAACATTTAGTTCATACAGGGTACTTCCAGATGGTATCCTGTGTCCAATGCCACAAAAACTTTTAGTAGAATTTGGTATCCAGTTTGATTAAAAAATTATTGGAAACATTTTTTTTATACAAACACCCCATTGTAAGTGTAAGTCTACTACCTCATTTTATTTTTTCTTGTGCCATAATTAAGGCTTATCGATATTCCAAGCCAGCTTTTTTCTTTTGTTTTCAGTGGCTGAATCGCTACTTTAGATGGATTTTTGAGAAATTGTGATTAGTTCCTTTTGTTTATCTCAAAACCAGCTGTATCGTTTATACGTTTCTGTAATTGATTAAATTGTCTATAAATCAGAATATATCAATATTCACCAGAATAATATTACAAAATTACGCAATATTTAAACAGAACCGGTTTTAGACTTGCTAATGAGCTTGGAGGTAATTTCGTGAACTTTTTTTTAGAATCAAACGAAAAAGTGTTTAGGTTTTGAAATTTTATATCGTTAAGTCGCTGATTGCATGAATTTTTTTTTAGAGAAAAGAGGCCTCCATAGGTTAATACGGCCCTGCTAAGTATAGTAAATTTTGAAAAATTGTATTTATCTTTTGTGTATCATGGATAAAAACTAACGTTATATCACGAAGTTTAGAATTACAATGTTATAATCATTAAAATCCTATTTGCAACTAACTTTTTATTTGTCATTTGCCACTAGCAAAACCTGTGTCCCCCTTAAGCCGGTCCCTTGCAGAAATGAGGAGAATCATCCGGGTCACCACATCAAGGATTCTTGATGTCTGTTAACTGTATTGCGGCGCGACAAATTTTGATAACTTTTAGGAAAGGTCAACCTGGAAATCAAAATGAAAACTCAACAGTGAGATGTGCGATGTTTGTTTGGAATGCTACTGAGTGAATTCTTTTTATGTTACACTTAAATATGTTTACGTACCTATTCAAGCGTAGATATTTTTTACTGTATTTGAGGAAAAATCGCTTTCCATATGCATTAATAATATTAAATTACTCCATCACAGCGGAATCGTAATTAACCTTTATCATTTTTTAATAAATTGAGATTTTTTCAGAACGTTCATTAAATTTTTTCAATCTTCATTAAAAATAATAAAAGGTATCAATGAAAGAACAATGAACCTTTTTTTGTATAATTATAGTAATTACATCCAACACATCGAGGTAGATGCCAATAAAAAACGAATATTTTTTAGAGAAAAATTGTTAGACTGTTTAATCAATTTTTCAGTCTAGTGAACGTAAACATAATATTTTTTTTATCGCAGATGAAGCAATACATTGTCTTTTACAACCTGGGTAAAGTACCTAAATAAATTATAGAAATTACCTCAAAGTATAAATTTGAATAAGTGAAGTGAATATTTATATAAATCCCAGATTGTAAATTATCTTCGGACTGAATGACATGATAAAGATATGTGTACAATGTACATATATGCATGGGACCCCCTGGAAGTTCGGCAATATAGGCCAGGAAAAAGAGCTGAGAAGCTAATATGTTATTGTACATAATATTTAGCATCTATAGTGATAAATTCATCTTACCGAAACAAAAAGTCGCGTCCAACTTTATATTTCCTGGCCTGTAAGGTACAACCACAAACAGTCTTGTAAGATTTTGATTTGGGAGCTCGTTTACGAAATATTATAACTTTTTTGGATGCGAGACATCGATTTGATCGACATTAGACTTTATTTTTTTGGGCTATATTAAAGCTTTGAGTGGTTATTTATTTCAGTTTACTCAATAAAATTGAAATGATCATTGTTTGGTTTTGTGGCAAATAAATTGACCTTAAAATTGACTGTATATTTGTTGACAAATGTTACAATATGACATATATGAATATTTCGTAAACGAGCTCCCAAATCAAAATCTTACAAGACTGTTTGTGGCTGTACCTTACAGGCCAGGAAATATAGAGTTGGACGCGACTTTTTGTCAATAAATTGACCTTAAAGTGGACTTATATTTGTTGACAAATATATAATATGTATCAGAAGCCTACTCTTTTCTACGTTATTACAAACTAGACTTAAGCTAAGGAAACTAAGGAGCGTGCTCCGTCCAATCATCATCATCACGATTAGCTATATTTAATTTGAACTAAATCTAACATATCCAAAAAAGTTGCAATATCTCGTACAGCAAGCCCCAAATCAAAATATGTGGTTTTTAGCCTAAAGTGCTTTTTTACCGCGTACAATTTGGGGTCCATGGGTGCTGCAACCCCCCTCTCCTCCGTTCGCGCTTTAATAGTTTAAACTAAAATTACACAAAAAGTGTGCTGACTTAAAATTAAAATATGTGCTAAATTTCAAATAAATATCTCAACAATCACCGTAGTTATCAATCAAAATAATTTTTTAAATTTTGACACCCTATATTTTGAAAATCGGGCTCCGAATTGAAAAGTGACATAAGAAAAGTCCCATTATTTTAGTCCAAAGAATATGTGGTTATTGGTTAACGGGTTGACTTACTAATTTGTAACATCCTGTATATTAAAAACAAAATCCTTAGAAATTATTTTCATGAATGAATCATCAGGGCATACCTTTTTAGAGGAAGATACATATTATGAATCAATTCAATATGACCAAAAGCATGTTGCTCTGGAATTAGAAGATTCTGAAACATTAGGCATGTACTCAGATAGCTCAGAGTCAGACAGACTAAATATCTTTTAAGTGAATTTTTTTATTATTTTATTTGCTTCATGCTGAAATTCGATTAAAAAAACTTTAAATGTTGTGTTTGAATATAGAGATGTGATATTTTGTTTCTGTTCGTTGTTTAGTTATGAAAAATTTCCCTAATATATTTTCCTAATACAGTTTTTCGATATTTTATTCGAAAAATTGCATTTTGCTTACTAAAAATTATTTTTAATGTGATCCTAAGAAAGCCTAATACTTCTTTTAGAAATAAAACTGTTTCAAATTAGTTTTTGATCAAACTTTTGATTATTGCCCAAATCAATAAAAATCATTTTTAAATTTTAATTTTCTCACCCTGTATTTTGAAAATGGGGCTCCGAAATGAAAAGTGGCATAAGAAAAGTCCCAGAATTATTTAGTCCAAAGAATATGTTATTAACTGGTTGACCTACTAATTTGGAACACTCTGTATAGTATTATTTATTGGCAAGCAAAAGTTCGATTTTTTTCTTTCATTTTTTTATAATTTTCTCCGCCTAATATTTCTGTAAATTTTAAACCTTGAGCCTAACCACTCTGACTATGTTTCCAACAATTCCAGAAAATGTAGCAGTACACTATTACACCAAACGAAAGATTCTGTCTATGACATTTTCTGTGAATAACGACGAAACGTTTGGAAGCATTTAATGCGACTTATAACCAACAATAACAACCGAATTAACATCAGGGCAGGCCTAGGGGTTCCGATAGCGGGTTCTCCCCCACAGAGCTTAGCCCGAGAATAACAAGGGCAGGTTGAAGATTTCCAACTAAGGCTACGGAAGTGTACATCTGTAATAACCCAAAAAATCATCGTACCTACTTTGAATATCATCATTGGCCGTGATAGACTTAATCCCACTGTATTTTGTTTATTCAAATTGAATTTTTGGTGACGGGGAAGAAAATTTAATTTCTGAACTGGTTAATTTTTTCTTATTCTGTCAATGACGAGTGGATACTACTGTATGTTCGGTGAGATATTTATTGCCCCGTGTTAATTCATATATTAATAAAAATCGTCAATTATAATATATGGTTTTTACGATGTACTCACTTACCTTGGACCTAACAGGAGATTATGTATTCTGATCTTTTAAAATAAATTTCTCCGTTCCGTATTAACGACGCCCAGTTATACTGTTATTAGCGAATCCATATCGATGTACCTTAATGAAAATGGAGAATTTGCTCGATTGTAGAAGATACGATTCATTGTTTATATTGTTTGTCTTCAACATATAACTACTTAAGTTAATACTACTCCGTACAAGTCAGGAGTGTAACTGTAAACATATAAAGTATTGTTGCATATATGTACAATTTAATTTTAATTTAATGGATCTTCAAAAAGGCATCTTTAAATATATTATGTAAGTTACTAATACATTTTTTCATTTTTCAGACACAACAAAAAGTTCACGTTCAAACAAAAAGTAGCCCTCATGATGTTGGGTGCTGCGGATTTCATGAGTTTCTGCTCAATGTCCATCATGGCCCCCTTTTACCCCAAGGAAGCTGCCAGCAAGGGAATGACGGAGTCGATGGCTGGATACATTTTCGGATTTTACGCTTTAGTTGTGTTCATATCATGTCCGGTTTTCGGGAAAATTGTAAGTTGAAGAATACCGACATGTATCTGGACTAATTTTAACTTTTTTACTTGTCAGCTACCAAAACTAGGAGTGAAGTTTTCATTCATAGGGGGATTGCTTGTGTCTGGAGTGTGCAGTGTTATTTTTGGGTAAGTACTTGACATATACGAGATGTTTGCAACATTGTCAATCGAAATTCACTTGAAAATTCTTATAAATAAAGTTACGTTACTTTAATTTTAGGATGCTACACACAGTACAAGATTACACCCTTTTTACAACGTTGTCCTTTACGATAAGAGGGTTTGGCGCTCTAGGGGCTGGTATATATTCCACGGCTGCCTACGTCATTATAATTAATATTTTTCCGGATAATGCAGGCGCTGTAAGGGTAAGTTTCACTTTGTCTCATATCTGCATTGTCCAGAGAGGGTGTATCTTTAAGTGTAGGTCTGTTTCTTAAGTGTACTTTTTCCCCTGAATACTAATCTGGAATAATATTTTTTATATCAAATAAATAATTGAGTTATGATTTATTGTTACTTTTTAAAACTAATTATATAAAATTCATAGAGTATCAGAGGGCGAAACTGCAATGGAAATTAATTTTGTAAAAACATATTGCTTTTGCGTATCCTGATTTGTGACGTGTTATTTTAAAGTCACCATATTTTTTTGATATCAAGCGGATGAAGCTAATCATTAAAATAATTTTCCCACGTTTTTTAGAACTTAAATTTTTTGCATGGTTTCTGAAATATTAATATATACTTTGCTAATTGTTTAGTAAAATTAACTTAGTTTGTGAATCTCATGATATTTCTGAGGAGGAAGATAAAAAATTGTAACTATATAAACTTATTTACTTTAAAAACATAACGACGTTTGTCCTACTTTAGGAGTTGACCTAGGTTTGGGATTAAATTAGTCTGTGCAGCGGCGGGGTATGAAAAATTATTAATACATTTCTATTTTTATGACGGAATTTGAGAAAACGAACTTATGATATGTATTTCTAAACGTCAAAAGTAACTTTCATATAAAAATGGCGCCCGTTTAAAGATACACCCTGCATATTAATTGCAAGATGTTTATATTTCATTTAAGGGCTCTTCAACCAAATTTGATATATTGGGAGTATCCAAAAATTAAGTTTATGTTAGTTTCTTCATTTTAGGGGCTACTAGAGACCTTCGTAGGACTTGGAATGAGCGCAGGCCCTGGGATAGGTGGAATATTGTTTGCGGTAAGCATTAATTTTTTGTTGATGAGTTTAAAAACTATATTACAACAATATAGATCGAGGCCGATCTGTTTCGAGGTGGATGTGAGAGGGGGCAAGCAAATTTTTTCTGGATTTTAAAAAAAAACATAATTTGCAAATTGGTAAATGTAATCTAATTATTGTTTAAAAATAAACAAAAAGAGTGTTAACTTTAAATATTTTCTGTGGCCATCCTAATCAACCGATTTCAATTATTCAAAAACCATTTGAAAGGTTGAGCGATCTTTTCTATGTGAAAAAATTTTCAAGTATCTAGATGTTTTATTTGAGGCTGTGCAACATTTTGAAAATTCGAAAATTTTTTTCAAAATTTTTTTCAAAATATTATTTCGCGAAAACTCGAACCGATTTTGATGAAATTTGGTGTGCTGTTTTATTATACTCTAAAGTTTTTTTTACCAAAATTAGAATGCCCTCGGAGCAATTAAAATATTTTTAAAAAATTATCTAAGAAACTTGATTATTTTGCCTTTTTTTCGTCAGTTATTGCTATTTTGTAACATCGGAAATAAATTTAAACATCTTTAACTTGCAGAATTTTATGTAAAATTCATTTCTAAAACTTTTTTTCCTTTTCAATATTCTTCCAAAATGCATAGGTTCGAAGATATAAGTAAAAAACTAGGTATTTTTAAAATTTTTT